TGTTTCCCCACAGCAGAAGACGAGACCCCATTTTCACTAGAAGAGATCCAAGAGGTCTTAAGCACCCTCAAGCCAGGAAAGGCCCCAGGGCCAGATGACATACCTGCAGACGTATTCCTCCTTCTTGACCACTCCACTGTAAGCACATTATTGGAATACTATAACCAAATACTTATGTCTGCAGAGGTCCCACCCAACTGGCTAGAAGCCATCGTGGTAAGGATATATAAAGGCAAGGCGACTTGTGAAAGCTAGTACAGGATCTGCTGAACCCTATCAGCCCTAGGCCCGAAACCCTAACTGTATGCCGCTGACACTTTGCTTGACAAAGATCTGGCAACGTTCGTGTCTTTTCGACGCATGGATCTCTGTGTTCCACAGGCTGGTCATGGCTGGTCCATTCGAGCGTATATGGCGAGTTTGCACCTCCAATGAATGAAGCAGCAGAGCGGTGGTCTCGTCCGGAGGTCATCAGTGCGTCGAGCGCCGACACACATGCAGAAGCAGGTCCTCGCTGGCCATGAACTCACGAAGTGCTGAACACACAATGCTTCATCTGGCGCTGATAGGCTCTGGCGCAGATATGCGTGGGCTGCGCCCTTTCGTTCTCAAGCACGTTTGTGATGCCTGCTGTGAGAACATCGTCTGCCCGGTTATGAAAGCAGGCGCGACTGCGGTGTTTTCACTTCGTTCACACTGTGCGAGGTCGGCATGGCTCTTGGATCTGCCTGGACCTCTCCGAACGCTCGGTCCTGCCAATGGATTTAGTTTGGCATGAGATGCGTCAGCGCAATGACAGCGTCTGTGGCTTTGGTTGAGGAGCCAGTGTTTGCAGCTCCGCATCCGGCTTCCCCGGGGTGTCAACAGGCTCCGCATCACCAGTGAGAGGTGGCAACTTGAAGCCGCATTGGGCTCTCGAAAAGGGCCCGACTACAGCAGCCAGCGTGCTTGGGGCTGCGAAGCGTAGCAACTGCAGTTGCCATGTTAACAGCCACAAGCTGGCAAGGCTCTCGCTCAAAAGGGCTCGCATCTCCGCCGCAAGGAAGGCCAAGAAAACAATGCTCTTGAGGTGCAAAGCATGGGGCCTTTAGAGCGCTTCCGTGCAATCAAGAAACAAGTAGGCTTTCTCTCCAGCAGTTTCTGTGGTTGCGCACGCAACAGGAACAGACGCGCCAACCGTGACAATGGCAATGCGATGTCCCTGCGATGTCCGCATGACAATGAACTCCAGTTTTTCAAGACAACGTGCTCAATCAGATTTGAGGGCAACGTGGGTGTTCGTCACACTGACATGGATGTGGCACACTTCGGCCATCAGCACCTGGCTCTGTCGCATTGGCATCGACACTCGCGCTTTCACATGGTTCATAGTGCACGAGGTCGGCATGGCTCTTTGGCATGCCTCGACCTTGAGACATGGGTCAGCCAGCATCGTGGAAGCCCGATGTCTACATTTCCAGCTGAAATGCACATCGCCGGTCAAAGGTGGCAACTTGAAGCCGCATTGGGCTCTCGAAAAGGGCCCGACTACAGCAGCCAGCGTGCTTGGGGCTGCGAAGCGTAGCAACAGCAGTTGCCATGTTAACAGCCACAAGCTGGCAAGGCTCTCGCTCAAAGGGGCTCGCCTCTCCGCCGCAAGGCTGGCCAAGAAAACAATGCTCTTGAGGTGCAAAGCATGGGGCCTTTAGAGCGCTTCCGGTCTCGACCTCTCCGAACGCTGTGTCCTAGTGATTCAGATTCATTTTTCATTCTAAATGCGCATGGTCGGCATGGCTCCTGAACATGCTTCTGTGGCTGGAGTTCACGAGCCAATGTTTACATCTGCAACTGAGGCACACATGGCCGGTGAAAGGTGGCAACTCTCGAAAAGGGCACGACTCGTCTGCGTGCTTGGGGGTGTGAAACGTAGCGACAGCAGTGGAATGCCATGATAACAGCCACATCGCATTGCTGAGATTACAAGATAGCTGGCAAGGCTCTTGCTCAAAAGCGGCAACCCCCGGCTACAGGAAAGTAGCAAAGTCCCCGCCTCCCCCTCCCCCTCCACCGCGTGTCACGACGGCAGGAGGCCCCGCGGCAAGCGACGCACGATCACGCAAGCTGACAAGCTCCTAAGTGAGGCAAAGGTAGCGGAATGCCATGATAACAGCCACATCGCCTTGCTGAGACTACAAGAGAGCTGGCAAGGCTCTCGCTCAAAAGGGCTCGCCGCAAGTGCTCTTGAGTGTGGGAGAAAGCAGCAAGAGTTGCCGCAAGCATGGGGCCTTAAGAGCGGCATCCGTGCAATCAAGGAACGAGTCGGCTTCGGCACACGCAAGGATTATTTGCAGCGAGGGCTTCCTGCCAGCACCAAGAAAACAGGTTCAGCCTACTGGCCGATCGGCGCATCAGTGTCATCGCTCCAGTTTCCTTGGTTGCACAAGCAACAGAAAACAGACGGACAAACCGGCTGACAATCACAAATGCGCAGTCCACATGACAACGAACGAATACCCCTTCGTCAAACGGAAATGGATGTGGCACACTTCGGCCATCAGCATGCGCCCTGCCACGGCAGCGAGGCTGTAGACTAGCTGTGACGTGTTGGCATCAACAGTGGCGCTCACAGTTTCATGCGGAATGCGCGAGGTCGGCATGGCTCCTTGACACGCCACCTCTCCGAACGATCGGTCTTTGTGATTTGGATTGAGTAGGCATGACATTCATGGGTCAGCTAGCGTAGTGAAAGCCTGCGTGGCTGGAGTTCACGAGCCAATGTTTACATCTGCAACTGAGGCACACATGGCCGACTCGTCTGCGTGCTTGGCGGTGTGAAACGTAGCGACAGCAGTGGAATGCCATGATAACAGCCACATCGCATTGCTGAGATTACAAGATAGCTGGCAAGGCTCTTGCTCAAAAGCGGCGACCTCCGGCTACAGGAAAGTAGCAAAGTCCCCGCCTCCCCCTCCCCCTCCACCGCGTGTCACGACGGCAGGAGGCCCCGCGGCAAGCGACGCACGATCACGCAAGCTGACAAGCTCCTGCCTCACGAGCTTGCCAGGATGACCGGCTCACGATCGCACTGCGAGTGTGCAGCTTGCTGCAAGTTGCAAGCCAGAGGGGCGAAGGAGGCGGCGCTTTAGGAGAAGCTCCGAAGCCAAGGCTTGACAACCGACACCTGTGCTGATGCTAAGAACGAACATGGCAAAGGGTCGGAAGCAGGCATGTGGAGACGGGCCGAACAGGGGCCGAACAAGAAACAGGACCTGCCAGTTTCTTGAAGAAATTGGCGATGTAGAACAGTTATTCTGGCATATTGAGACTGCATAGGGCTCTCGAAGAGGGCCCGACTAACGAGTCTGCGCGCTTGGGGCTGTGAAGTGAATGCCATGATAGCAGCCAATCCCATTGCTAAGATCAAACAGCATGTTGAGCGTGGAAATGTGTGGCAGACAGCAGGCTGAGATTCTCACTCCTGACTCGTGGACGTACTGCACGTGACTCTCGTGGTTGTGGCGCCTGTTCATGACTGCATCTTTCACTTCATTCAGAAAATGCGAGGTCGGCAAGGCTCTTTCGCAAACTCCTGGCAAGCTGTGATTGCATTGGGCTGCTTTTCAGAAGCACGCAAGAGACTACGCAACCCCCCCCTCCCTCCCCCAGACTGCCGGCAATGTTTCCTCCGATCCTGGGCGTGGCCTTCGCTTCTTGCAACGCCTGCGCATGCAGCATTTCTGGATGCAACAATGTACGTCCCATGAGTGAGAGCTTGGAAGGTCGAAGTGGTCAGTGTCGGCCAGTTGCCGCGTCAAGCACGGGGACAGCTGGGAGGCTTGCCATGGGGCCAAGGCGTTCTTTCGTTGCAAGAACCGGGCCCGCAAGCGGCCGCGTGGCACCAGAGGTGCAACGAAATCCACGTCCAGCGCCAGCCGCACATGCTGAGGTGCCAAGCGCCTGCAGGAGGCTTCGCGGGATAGCAAAGGACACATCTAGCGAGGTGATACTGACGGTGCGGCAGTCCATGCTGACGATGGCGTGGATCTTGATGCCGCAAGTCGCCAGCCGCATAGCGAGGGTCCACGAAACTGCGGCTCCAAGACTTTGACCGCACAAGGCAGAGAGGCTGAAGATTAGCTTTGTGATTCTCTGTCGCATTGGCATCATAAGGGGCGAGGTCGGCATGACTCTTTGGCATGCCTTGTCTCCGAACTCTCGGTTCGTGCAATGATCTGATTAGGCACGACATGCGCCCGTGAAAGGTGGCAGCTTGAAATTGCTACGTGCTTGGGGTGAAGTGTAGCAACAGCAGTTGCGATGTTGACAGCCACATCGCCCTGAGATCACAAGAGCTGGCAAGGCTCTCACTCTTGCCCCAAGGCAGGCCAACAGACACAGCACGCTGTGTGTGTGTGTGTGTGTGTGTGCTCTTGAGCGTGCGAGAAAGCAGCAAGCATGAAGACTTGAGTGATTCAACTCAGATCAGTTTAGGCCTTTGGCTGACGAGACAGTTGTTGGCCGCCTCCGGTCAGGCGCTGGAAGTGCAGTAGTTGAACGGATGCTTCTCCGAAAGGACTTGCTGGAAGACTTTGGCACGATCGACTAACAAAGGCAAAATGCGGGGCTCTGGATGTCGGACATGACGTTGACTGACCAGGGATTGGTTCAAAGGCTTGGACTCACCGCGTCTCTTTCGGCCTTCGAACGCTCATGCAAGCAAGAGACTACACAGCCCCTACCCCTCACTGCCAGTGAAGTGGGCATGATCCCGGACGCGGCCTCCGCTTCTTACAACGCCTGCGCATGCGCCTGCAGCACTGCTGGATGCAACGGTGCATGTCCCACACGTGGGAGCTTGGAAGCTCGAAGTGGTCAGTGTCCGCAAGTTGCCGTGTCCGGCATGGGGACAACTGGGAGGCCTGCCATGGGGCCAATGCGTCTTTTCGTTGGAACCGGGCCTGCAAGCGGCCGAGCGGCACAAGTGGTGCAACAAAATCCACATCCACGAGAGAAAGTCGCACATGCTGAGCCGCAAGGGCCTGCAAGAGGCTTCGCGGGATGCACCAGGCTACATCCAGCGAGGTGATGCTAACGGGGCGGCAATCCATGCTGACGATGGCCCGGACTTCGAGGCCGCAAGTCACCAGCCTCAGAGCGAGGGACCGAGCAACTGTGGCTCCGAAACTCTGGCTGCACAGGACCAAGGCCTTGCCATGCTGCAAAAGGCGAATGGCAGATGCAAGCAGAGCACACGGGCTCCCCGTCCTCAACGACTCTTCCACGGGAGCCACTCTGCTCACTGCCGTCTTGCAAAGAGCCATGAAACTTCATGGAGCATCATTATTGCATGGAACCCGGTATATGCTCTGGTGCAACTTCTTCAGGAGGGGCCTGACTGGAGGCAAACTGAGCGTTGGCCCTTGGTGATCTCCTTTTCTCGCAAAGGGTTGTGAAAGGCCCCCCTGAATCATGACGTGCACCTTTTCAAGCCTACGAAGCTAGCTTAGATCGGAAGGAGCAGCTGGCTAACACAGCGTACTTGGAAGTACTAAGGCGCAACGAGGTTGAAAAGGCACAATACCGCCTTGGCACAGGGCATTATGCAGAGGCACCCCATGTGGCAAAGGCACAACAAAGAGTGTCAAACCCCAAGTGCACGCAGGTTTGAGGCAAGCTGTGAGGAAAAAAATCAGCAACGCAGGCTCAGGCTAAACCCACTAACCGTCAGGAGCAAGAACGTGCTGGCCGTAGAGCTCGTCCACCGTCGCCAGCTGCGAACGTGTCGGAAAGTGGTACCCTCAGCTCGATGGCTTGCACTTCCCGGCAACAACGCGGGAGAACAGTTGCAGACATGAGGAAGCTGTCTTGGGTAGATACGCGCGAGCAGCTCTCCCTCGACCCCGGAATGGCCGGTGAAATTCCGGAACCTTCTGACGTTCAGACCACGCCGTCGCAGACAAATCTTTAAGACCGTTCTAGTGACTCTAGTGCCGTACGACTTCACATGCTTTGACTCTCCTGCAATTGGGTTAATTTGGCATGACATGGGTCAACTAGCACAATGAAAGAGGTTCAGGGACCAACCAGTGTTTCTACCTCAAGCTGCCTGGTTGGCATTGGACTGTGTGCTTGGGGCCTTGAAGTGTAGCAGCCGCAGTGGAATGCCGTGTCAACAGACACATCGCATTGTTGAGATCACAAGAAGCAGAGCTGACAAGGATCTCACTATGGGGCAGCGCATCCGTACCATCAAGATTTAAATGGCTCAAGCGAAGACTGCTGGGAGGGCTTCCTGACAGCGCACTCACCACGAAAACATGTAGGTTCAGCCTCTTAGCCGTTCGCCGCATCAGCGTTGTGACACACAAAGGCGGGCCGACAGGAATGAAGAGATGGGCCAACTGGCAACAATCGTTTAAAGATAGCGTGCCCACTCAGATTTGAAGTGGCTCGGGTGCTCGATAAGCGGAGCTGAATGTGGCACTTCGGCCATCAGTGTGCACCCGATCAACGCAGCTAGTCTGAAGACTAGCTGGTCAGCTCCGTCGCATTGTTTTCAACATTCCGAGCAGTTTCGAACATAGCGTTGGGCACACGCAACTCCCCCCCCCCTTCGTGACTGCCAGAAGCCCTGCTTCAAGCGTATGCACGCAGGATGCAAGCTCAGACCTCACGAGGTTGCATGGCAGGAAGCCCAACAACCTTGCGCCAAGAACGAGCATGGTGAAGTGTTGCAAGCAGGCTTGTGAGAATGGCCGAAGGCCAAATGAGCAAGCGCAAGTGAGTCGCACTTGGGAAGACGAGTCCACATAAGCGGGAAGTGGTGCCACGCCCGGAGCAGAACAAGAACCAGGCTTCTGAGATGATGGCCGGGCCTTGCAGAAAAGTCACTCGGAAGCGCTCCTGTGCAGCAGTCGGCAGTTAGGAAGGATGCTGCGATGGCACTTCCATCCAACGCTGGTTCATTCTCGTGGTTGTGGTGCCTGTTCATGACTGGCTGGTTCATTCAGAAAATGCGAGGTCGGCAAGGCTCTTTCGCATACTCCTGGAAAGCTGTGATTGCATTGGACTGCTTCACAAGAAGCAGAGCTGGCAAGGCTCTCACTCAAAGGGCTCACCGCAAGGCAGGCGAACAAACACAGCATGTTGAGTATTTGAGAAATCGGCAAAAACAGGGCCTCGAGCGTTCTAACTCAGACCATCTCAGGCATTAGGGTGATCCTAGCTGAGATTAGCTGAGCAATAGTTGAACGGGCGCTTCTCTGAGAAGCGAGGCTGGAAGACTGCAAGAGGGATTGACTCGCAGGTGTTATCAAGTGCTTTGATTTTGCTCATGGGTCATTTCGCGGCTTTGGATGACAGACGTGACTTGGCAGACCACGTATGGTTGGGCCATGTTGGCACTTACTCCTGAGCGCAGTGTCTTTCGAGCACTCATGCAAGCAAGAGACTACACAGCCCCTACCCGGAACTGCCAGTGCAAACGTGGGCCAAGACCCCGAACGCTGCCTCCGCTTCTTGCAACGCCTGCGCCTGCGGATGCAGCATTGCTCAATGAAACGTTGAATGTCCCAGGAGTGGGAGCTTGCAATGTCGAAGTGGTCCGTGTCCTGAAGCCGCCGCGTCCAGCATGGGGACAGCCGGGAAGCTTGCCACGGGGCCACTGCGTCCTTTCTTTGGAACCGGGCCTGCAAGCGGCCGCGTGGCACCAGCGGTGCAACGAAATCCACGTCCACGAGGGAAAGTCGCACATGCTGAGGCGCAATGGACTGCAAGAGGCTCCGTGGGGCAACAGAGACCCTATGTAGTGAGGTGATGCTATCGTTGCGGCAGTCCATGCTGACAATGGCCCGGACGTTGAGGCCACATGTCTCCAGCCGCACAGTGAGGGTCCACGCAACTGTGGCTCCCAGACTCTGGCCGCAGAGGATCAAATCCTGGCCGTGCTCCAAAAGACGGACGGCACGCGTCAGCAGAGTGCAGGGGTTCCCTGTCTGCAACGATTCTTCCACAGGAGCCATTCTGCTTGCAGCCGTCTGGCACAGAGCCATAAAACTTTCGAACTCATTGCCGGCGACGCGGAAGCCACCATGGAGCATCAGTGTGTGGAAATTCGCTTCGTGCGTTGGTGCCCCGCTCGAGGCAGCGAGGCTGAAGATTGGCTGTGTCGGCTTGGCATCAACACTGGCACTTTCACTTCGCTCAGAATAATGTGAAAGGAATGAAACGTATGCCTTGCCTCGACCTCTCCGAACGCTCAGTCCTGTAAGTTTAATAAGTGGGCAGTCCTGTAAGTTTAATAAGTGGGCTCCGAAAAGGAGGCTGCCGATGCGGGACGGGCCCGAAACGCTGTGGGCTGGCCGGCTCCCCATGCCTGCATCTACCGGTAGACCTGCAGGTCCTGCTGGCGGATTTGCAGGTGCACCGTGGCTCCTCCCAGCTGCTCCACAAGCGCCTCGCCGCTTGTGACACTCTGTAGACGGTGTACGGTGTGCCTACAAAAAGATGCAAGAAGTGTGGAGCAGGCACTTGCTTAGCATGCGCTGCACATGCTTCTAAGCCGGTTGCGGGAGCTGGAAGTTTCTATTCCTTGAAATATGTGTGCACCATTACGCTGGAGGGGGCATGGGATGCCCTGGCCCTGGCTCCTGGGAAGGTATCGGCTGTTATGTTTGAAGGGGAATGAGAAAGGGCCCGCAGATAGACATGGCGTCCATTAGCCTGTGAATCTAATACCCCACACAGTAGTTCTGGAGCATGTCCGGCAAGCACTGCGTATTCCAAGCTCCAGTTTTGTGTGTGCGACCTACCCGAGAAGGCAGCATGACAGGTATCCAGTCGGAGGCAAGACTAAGATTGGGGTGACCACAATGCACCGCATGCTCTGATGCACCGTGGGGCGGAAAGGTGCTCTTACGCGCAGGGTTGCTTGTGGCCCAACGTTGAAGAGACCACAAGCTGTCAGCATTAATGGAGGTCTTGGATGTTTGAGATGATGGGCAACCCACAGCAAAAAGCATCCTGCCTGCCGAGGCACGTGACATTGGGAGGGTTTCGGGAGTGGGATGGCGTCAGGAGCCCCGCTCATAAACAGCCGCTAGTTTCCCGAGGTCTTCTTTGCTGGGCTGCTGTCGGACAGCCTTGGCCGTGGCAGGCTGCTAGGCTATAGCTGTAGCCCTCGAAGAGGATCGAAACGGGACCAGCTCGCCATTGGCCTCAGGATTTCTGATGAGGCCTAGAAGCCAAGGAGGAAGAACACACGAAAGCAGATTGCTGTTTCGCGGCGAGTGCGCTTCCTCTGAAATTGCAGGTTTGCTTGCCTCCACCGCTGCCAGACGGCGGACTGCAATGTTGCACTTGGGAAGGTCCCCCCCTCATGTCGCGTAGCAAAAGCGGGGGATGTCTAGAGTCGATCGCCGGCACTTGCATGAGAATATCATGTCTCACTCAGAATGTTTACCCCTCCCCCGTTGCAATCATGTTCTTGGGGATCCCTTAACAGAAGTGCAATCATTTTAAGTCAATGACCCCCATTGGAACGCACACCATGTGGCCCCTTGCACTCATTTCTGGGGGACGGAAATGATTGTGGTATTTCGCAATCATTTGGCCCCCTCCCCCTCTCGCAATCATTCTCTAGGAAGGAGTGATATGAGAATCGTAGTTTGCTATGCAACTGCTTTTCGTGTGTGCAAAGTGTTCAGACGCTTCGTCGTCACTGGACCGCGCGGCAAAACCGAGGCCACGGCTGGGACATTCATGGAGGGTATCGCTTTTTTGGGGTTAGGTGTCGCTTTCACAATAAAACCCTTACCGGCCGATGTCAGGCCAAATGCACTGCGTCACCAAGGTAATTAACTCAATTTGTGAGGAAGGCCTGACGCGATCTGGGGGTATTTTGCAAATGTCCCCCAAGGAAGGCTACCTGGAGAGGTGCGGGATTTAGCTGTCACTCACTTGAACTCACACAAGAATGACTTATGACTGCGTGCAACAATTCAGCTACTCAGCAGGGTGCCGGCCAGTGGAGGAATGATTAACACCTCGAACAGCTTGGCCGAGTCGTTCTTGTGCTCATGAGTTTGACAGCCAGCTTGACGGCATGAGATCTTCAACGCGTGCGTGCGCAACAGTTGTTGCGAAGTCCCTTTTCGGATCGATTTGCGCTTTAGCAGCTGTCAGGTTTCTCGAGAAACACATGGCAGGCAAGAGCAACTTGCTACGGCACCGCTCCAATTGTGCTACATGTGATGCAGGATAAAAGCAGCAAGCAGGACAGCCACAGATCACACATGTGAAGGTCTTCTGGCAGTGAATGAGGTTGAAAGGCAAGTTCCCGACGCATCTACAGCCGTTTTGTTCGTTCCAGGGTCGGCGGTCTGCTTGGTGCGGCACCTTTCAAGCCGGGAGCGCCGAGCTTCCCATGTAGGTTTAGGAAGTGGTTGAACATCCC